GACCTATCAACAAACACCAAGAAATACAAAGAATCATTGGATCATAGTTTAAAAACCCGTAGTCCACAAAATTAGAAACTAAAAGAAATGGGTAAATTTCTCAATAGCCATCACTTACCAAAGTTAAATTAGACTGCTAGTTATGAGGAAACCTTCGACCTGTAATCTATCCTGCCTGCAAGATGTGCTGGAGCAATGGTGGTGCAGAACTTGAGGGAGTCCACACACATGCACAGTCAAATATATTTTTTTCATAGTATTGATGCTTATATGGGAAACCAATAACACATACAATTAAATAATCTAGAGAACATTTACAGTAGAATACTCTAAAACAGATGTTCTCAACCTGTGGGTTGCAAGCCTTTATGGGGGTGGGGTAGGAATGGGGGGTGGGTGAGGAAAGGGGAGGTAGAAAGACTTTTTAACAGGGGTTGCCTAAGACAAGAAAAAAACATTTCTGATGGTCTTAGGAACTGAAACATCACTCCTGTATCCATCTCATGATTCTGCCCACATGGAGATAAGCCCACATGTAAGCAGCTGGAACTGACTTTAAGTGTTGCAGCATTAGGAAGGTTGAGAACCAATGATCTAGAATCATTTCTAGAGAAACAGAATGTGGCAAAAGCATTCTCATATCTCAGTTGCACTTTCATTGTTTTTATTTTTGTCTTTAGATTTTGTATGTTAGCTGACGGGTAACAATGTTTTGCAGCATGTATGTAAGTGCTCTATATTTGTGCCTGGTGTGAACTGTGGTAAGAAAAAGGCATCAGGTCTCTGAAACTGAAGTTATAAATGGTTGTCAGCTTCCACATTGATGAAAGGAAATGAACCCATGCCCTTTTCTAGACAAGAAAGGGCTATTAACTATTGACTCACCTCAAAACCCCTACCTCCATGCCTTTTCCACTGTCACATGAACCCCTCAAAACCTCTACCTTAATACGTCCAAAATACCTGGTATATTTTGTACTGTCTAATTTCTCTCTGCCTTCCAGGTATGTAGGTTATGCATAAAAGTGAGCCGTGGCATATAAATGAAACTACCTGAGAAAGAGATTCTTCAGAAAGCTCCTGGATTTCAATCACAGTATTGTACGAATAAAGAGAAAATGATATAAAGGATTTTACAAATGGTTCACCAAGTCTTATCCAGTATATGAATACTGACAACAATTAGGGACCATATTCTGTTAGCCTAACTTGAGTCCTACCACTTCTAATCACAGCTCAATCCAAACACAAGGGTGGAAATGTAACTGAACGATTGTGATGGCAGAATTATACACCACTGTGTTTCTGAGTTTATCTTAGAACAATAATTAAAGACTAACACCTCCTAAAAGGACAAACACAAAAACTATAGTATAATGCAAAGCACTTTTTACAAGGCCCTCGAGGTCTCCAAGTGTCCATACATGCCTTAGGACCTGCAGCTACGAAACTCTACCCACAGAACACTCTAACTGCCCTCAAGTCCAGACACAGCCCCTCCAGATACAGGCACACACGCTTTTCCAATAGAGTAAAAATCCCATGCTCTAGACTTGAAACCCTACCAATCTGTACACTGGAAATCTTCACATGGAAAGCTCCACCCCTAAGAAATGCTATATAAACCCTGTCTTCTGCTCAGCTCTCTGCTGCTTCCTGCCCAAGCAGAAGCACACACCCTTGGGTTTTCCCTCCAAATAAAACTCTTGTGTGAAGTTTGTTGCGTTGTGTGACTGCAAGAATACCTTTCCCTTCAGAGCTTTAACACTTGCATTGGGTAATCTTTCCCCATGGGAGCAGGGCTGTAACACTTGCACTGGGGAATCCTTCCACATCAAAGCTCCAATTCAGGAAACTTTTCACCACAGAGATGAAACACAGTGATGCTCTGATTGCAATAGGCTCTCCTGGTGCCTGCCCTCCTCATATGGGTTTAAGATGCACTTGGACCCTATCCCTCATCTCAGGTCCACGTGATACAGATTCACCATCACCTTCTGGTTCACAGATTGCTGGGTAACCCATCCACCAGAAGCAATTCACTGTGCTTCCGCTTTGGCTAGTGGAAATGCTTCAGTGAATCCAACAAAGTGACAGTTGCTCACAGAGCACCCCACTAATACTCTAGGAGGAGGAGGTACCCTGAGTCGTCAATGCTATGGTTTGCCCTCTTCCCCTAACCCTGTTCCCCCACCCTTGGAGATGCAATCTTGCAGTTTCTTTAGGCCCAAGTGAGATACTGCAGCACTTCCGACCCTCTTCCCCCATCTCCTCTTGGGAGGTGCCCATAATCCCGAGCTCCTCTAGGCCCTTGTGGCTTCTGAGACTCCACTTTCCAACCCTTTTTGTGATGAGACCCCTCTCCTAGAGCTCCTTTCACCCTTGCCTTCTGCACCCCTTACCTTCTGGCCTCAATGAAAGCCTTGGTACCAGGTGCCCAGTCTCTCCTTCAGCAAAGGCAGACTAAGTCTGTGAGCCCTGCTGAATGCAGTCAAGTACACACAGAATGGACTGGCTTTTCCTCCAGTCCTGAGTCCTTGGGGATACCTGACACAACAGGCTACAGTGACATTTTTCCTCCCAGGCCTCTCTCTCATCCATGGGAAGTGTCTTCCATACCCTCTCATTCCCCATTGGGATATCTTTTAGAAAATCTCCAGTCTTTCCACTAGATGCTGGATCTGAAGTCCCCAAATTTACTTGCTTTTGCTACCAACTCTAGCCTCCATACTGTTAGAATTCTGCCCTCACTCCAGCTACATGACTGCACATGCGCAGTTCAGGAGTTAAGCAAAGAGTCTTGCATCTTACATCATCAGTGTGCGCTCACACAATCAGCGCATTTGTGGGTTAGCTCCGTAAGCCCGCTTCATGTGGAGCCCTTTAAAACCCCACCCTCTCTGCTCTGCTCTCTCTCCCCACCCCACTATCTTTCCCTCTGCTCTCCACATGTGCTCCCCACCTCCTTCCTCCTAGTAAAACTCTGAAACTGATACTGGGTTCTGTTGTGACCGTGACCTATCCACATGGTAATCAGCACTGTTTATCATTCATTTCACATATCCTTAGACAATCAACCCAAAGGGCCACCTAACAGCACCCTAGAACCTAACATTATCTAGAACTATTACAAATTCTGAGAGCAATCAGGGAAATTGAGATTCTCCATTCTCTATTTCTCTTTGCACTGCGCCAAGCCTGTTTGTATTTGTCTGGTTCCCCCCTCTTTCATCCCTCAGTAAATAAATGTCCTATTTTTCAGTTAATGGTGAGTAAATAAACCAATGCAATCATTAAATAACAATACATAATAATTATAAAATCTACAAATAGAATTTAAGAGGAGATATCAATGTCTTATTTGGTGGTAGAACTTTTGTTTGATACTATCTGATTTTGCTTTTATTTGATTAATTAAAACTGAACAGTAATAATAAAAAAAATAGTTTGCAACCAGCCAGCAGGCAAGGGTCCAGTGGGCAGGCCATTCCACCACCACCCATTGGACTCTGTGACCTACAAGACCCACACCACCACCCAAACCCACCAACCCAATCATCTTCTTGTGGTCAATCATCCCCTGCAACATCAGCAGCTCCTAGAAGCACAAACTCCACCTATACCAGTTGGAAAAACAGACCTACTCTGCCGCCCAATCCCACCTAACCCAGTAACCTCCCTGTGAACAGCCTTCTCCAGCAACATCAACAGACCCTAGAGGAACAAGCCCCACTCACACCAGCTGGAAGAACAGGCACAGGCAAAACTTACACCAGTTGGGAGAACAGACTCCATAGGCACAGGCATAACCCACACCAGTTAGAACAGACCCAAAAGGCAGAAGCAGAGCCCACAGGAGCCAGAAGAACTAGACAATACACTGGATCTAGGCACACAAACCCTATGAACCTCAGCTGAGACAACCCTACTCAACCTGACCACCAGACAATCACCAGAACCCTTGGCCATTCCGGCCAAAAGGCAATAAAGGAAACAGACAATAAAGGAACAAAAGACCCATCCAATAAAGATAGCAAAAGAATAAACACCAGTACCTATAATTATCCAAACCCAGAAGAGTAAACGGCAGTGTAAGAATACATTTAACAACATAAAGAGCAATATGGTGCCACCAGAACCTAATGGTTCTACAACAAAAGATTTGATCATTTCTTTTAGAGTTCCCACT